AAGCCTAATGAACTATTGGACTTTCAACTTCTAAAACCAATGCCGGAACACACCAAACCAACTCTGATTGACCTCAAATTTTACACACAAGTCACAAATGACACAACGAACCTATTTCAACTTCCGAAACAAAAATCAGAGCCCGGTAACAATAAAGTCAACTCTCAGTCAAACTTTTCAACCTTCCAACTTTCGCCAATTCAAGCCAAAACGACCAACGCACCTCCAAATCAAAATCCAGACAAAATCCTAAGTCCAAAATCACCATATGAAGCTATCAGAACCATCAAAACTCCATTCCGGAGTCGTTTACTCAAAATTCAACATCCGATCAACTCCTTCAACTTAGGCTTCCAACCTTGGGACTAAGTGTCCCAATTCATTTCGAAGCATCCACGGAACCAAACCAACCACCCCGACAAGTTACATAACGACAATTGAACATATAATAAACAATAAATAGGGGAACGAGGCTACAATACTCAAAATGATTGGCCGAGTTGTTACATGAACTCACCCTCGTAAATGCGGAGGCCAACTTTCCCCAGCCAAGGCATGCCTCTAGATGAATGCGGGACTATCTACACGAATGCAAAGGTAGAACTCTCGCCTGACTCCACTTAATTGTGAACGTGATCGTTCTTACGTGATCGCGACTCCTCTTGCAGTCCACTACATGAACGCGAATACTTAGTCACGAGCGCGATTGATAAAATACACCTGCCAGCCTCCCTTTTCTGTGATCGTGAGACTCAGCTCCACGATCCCAAAGCACAACCTCACATAAGAAAACTAGCAACCTCACATTATGTATAATGTGATTTCCTTTCCTTGTTTTGTGTCACGACCCAAAATTCCAACCAAAGGGTCGTGACGGCGCCTAACACTCAACATTTAACCATAACAAGATATGCAAACTAACATATAACAGCATGATATAATAAATGAGAGTAAAAGATCTGCAATACATAATGAGTCTATACCAAAACAGCCTTTAAATAGCCTCCCAAGACTAGTGTCATTGAGTATATGAGCTTCTAAAGAATTACTAAATACAACATCTGAAATGGAATAACACTATCTGATATAATAAATAGTAAAAAGGATAGGGAAGGTGACTCTAGAGTCTGAGAACGAGAGTGCAACACTACTCGAGTCTCCTACGAAGTCCAAGCTTGTCATCTCTCTGAACACTGCTAGGATCAATGCCAGAATCTGCACAATAAGTACAAAATTGTAGTATGACTACAACCAACCCAATGTACTTAGTAAGTGTCGAGCCTAACCCCGACTAGGTAGTAACAAGGCTAAGATAAGACACCTACCATATAAACATGTGCAGTTAAATAACAAGAGATACAACAAGTAAGATAACAAGAGAAATGACAAGTAAGATAGCAAGTAATATAACAAGAGAAATAACGAGTGAGATAACAAGAGTAATAGCAATAAGAAATACGAGTAATAGTAAAGAATCAACTACAGAAAATAACAACCATATATTCTCAAATAACACAATCAAGCCTTTCACAGTAACTCAAATCCGAGAGAATGAAATGATATCCATGAAATAACATAGCCAAGTCCTCAAATCCGCATAATAAAAGCAAGGAGTAAGAGATAACGAATCAAATAGCACGGCAATACCCTTTGTGCATTTATCTCTTATCCTCACTAGCACGGAAACACCCTTCGTGCAATAATAATAGAAATGTCAAGAAGCACAAAAATACCCTTTGTGAAATAGCAATAATATAAAATGGCACAAAAATACCCTCCGTGACTAATGACTCTTCCTCACAAACACGAAAACACTCTTCATGCATAATCACTCTTCCTCACAAGCATGAAAACACCCTTCGAGCACTTAACTCTTCCTTACCAAGAGTGTGTGTGTGTGTGTGTGTGTGTATGTGTGTGTGTGTGTGTGTGAAATATTACCAAGCAAGGTAGGAAGCAATAACATCAAATCAAGGTCAACGGAGATACTTACCTCTTTCAGGAACAAGTCAACCTTCCAATACCGCCTTTTCATTAGCACAAGACTTCAAACAACTCGAATCTAGTCAATTACTACTCAAATAAGTCAAAACAAGCTTTAAAAATTATCCTAGTGTAAAAAAGGTTTGATCTTTACCATATTTGAAAAAGTCAACCCAGACCTACTTGACTGAAATCCACAATCAAAACCAAATCCGGATTACCCATTCATCCCTGAGTCCAAACATGTGATTTGTTTCGAGATTCAATCTCAAATCGAGGTTTAAATCTTTAAAATTCAAAATCTTAAGTTGCTACCCAAAAACTGTATTTCTACTCTATGAAATCGCTGATCGAAGAGTGAAAATATATGGGGAATAATAAAATTAATCAAAAAAAAGTTAAAATTACTAACCTACGAAGTTGGAAAGAAAATCTTCTCAAAAACAGCCTCCTTGCGTAGTCTAGGTCTAAAAAATAAAAGAAAAATGAGCTATTCATTTTTTCCCCAATTGCAGATGTCACAATTGTGAAGTCTTGTTCGCAAATGCAAAACTCGCTTCGCAATTGCGAACATTGCAAATGCGATCCCAGTGGTCGCAAATTGCAAAGCTGGCCTGATTTCCACACTTTGTAAATGCAAGGTATAATTTGCAAATGCGGACCTCGCATTTGCGAGCGGCTCATTGCAATTGCGATGACTGCAACACCAACAACCTTAAGTCTTACCAAAACAACTTGAAACCAATTTGAAACTTACTCGATCCCTCGGGACCCCATCCAAACATTCAAACATATATATAAACCTCATACAAACTCGCCCATAAGCTCAAATCATCAAAATAACATCAAAAATTATGAATCAACCATAAAAACTCAAGAATCTCAATGTTCATAACTCAAATTTTCAACTTTCAACAATAAGAGTTGTGACGGCCTCGGGTTACAGGGACCCTAATCAAATATGCGTACAAGTTAAAAATCATCATACGAACCTACCGGAATCATTAAAACACCGATCCGAGGTTGTTTACCAAGAATGTTGACTGTAGTCTTAAAGTTCTATAATCAAAATTTCTTTATAAAAATACATCTAAACTTTCCGAAAATCAAAACGAACCATGCACACAAGTCATAAACAATAAAATGAAGTTATTCAAGGTCTCAAAGCAATAAACATAAAGCTAGAACTCAAAACAACCTATCAGGTCGTTACATTTTGATTCTTCGACGATAGAGTCATAGTTTAAGATAGGCTTTGATATATTATTCATGCTTAAATTTATCTTAGTAGAAGTGGCAGTCATCATTTTGTCCTGGGATGAATTATATGTAATTGAAGGATGCCAATTAGGATAAAAATCCACCTCAATGTGCTATGATTGGTTATAATATTGACAGTTTAAGGATCGGCTAACCCCTCTCTCCCCGCCCCCAAACCAATAGTCTTGGTGGCTTTTCGCTGAAAGAAAAATGACTATGTTAGCTATCTTTATTGAACAATTAAAATAGAACCACCCAGTTTTATTCACACACTAAATAACCAAAGAAATATTCTATACGTACACAACATGTTCTCATTTCATATATTGGCCTTGATTGATCCATCCCAAAACATGTAGCTCGTCGACGGATCCAACAAGGTAAATATAAGAAATGACCGCCATTTATTGATGTGTCGAGTAGAGGTTGTCGATGCATTCACCAAAGATATTCCACTGGTTCATTCGTGTAATTGGCCATCGCTAATCCATCCACGTATGATGCATCTAGTGTCAACCAAGGTCACTCTAGGGTAATGAATGACTTCAGTTTCTAGAGTATATCCAAAAACGATTAACAAAGTTTCCACTCTTGGATCATGAGTGTCCTTGGTTGATCTATCCACGACACGAACCGATGGATCAACCAAGGAAAATATAAGGAAGAGCCCATACAATGCCATCAGTTTATCTACCCACAATCAGAAACGGATGGAACAACAAAGGCAAATATTAGGAATGAGTTCCTAAAAGGGCCTTCCTTTATACGCCGACCATTCGAAATAACTACCCGACATATATATTTTATGGAACTAAAGATTCATTACTCAAATCGAAAATAAATAGATGACTTATTATTACAAAACAACCACTACAACAATAACAACAATTATACCTCAGTTCCAAGCAAGTTGAGACTTTTACAAACTACTATTATATGATAATTTTATCCCCCCTAGCATACCAACAATGAACACTAACATTAAGTTTTCTTTGTCATTTTCTTCTTTTCTGCCTTTTTCTCCACTTGTTGAAGTATCTTCAGTACTTGAATATTTTTCTTGATATATTTTGTATGCTGCCAATAACATTCGCCTCTATTATATAATATGACTTATGTCGACTTCCCTTAAATTCGGTTACCTGCATTGAACATTCATCCCAAGAAGTGTACATAACAGGTTTTCTACCATTAAAAACAACATAGAACTTGGATTTTCCCTTGTCAAGCTTCATTGTGCAAAAGGATTAAGGAAAGTGTTGGTAGACAAAAAGATTATGAATAGAGATGAAGGAAGCCGAAATCCTACTATAAAGAGCTTTTGCCTAGAGGTGTAAGGATTGGAAGATTTAAAAGAAAAGAAAAGAAAAGAAGGAAAAGACTACACCTTTTTAGTTGTGTCAGCTAGACTAAGGATATAGCCTTTTTCCACGTTATTGGAAAAAATAGAATCTTTGGATATATTTTCTCACTACCTTCATACACCTCTCACGCGCATCGCAAATGGAATTTCCAAGAATATACAGATCAAAAAAGTCACTTACATTTTCTCAATAAGTTTTCTCGACATTTAACCGCATACCTTCTTTATTTTTGTGGGGATACAACACACCTAGTTGTTCCAACTTTTCATAGTTGGCTATGTGGGAACAGCATGTAGGTGTCCAACCAGGTGACGGTAGCACACTACCCCATAGTCAAAATACAAGCAAACGACATTTAGAGGGAGGGGGACCATAATTATTTACGATCGTTCTTCAAATATTTGGATAATCCCGATATCTTCCTTGTGTGGTTCATTGGTTTCAACGACTTTTAGAATCTGCTATCTTGGACCCCATCTCTCACTTTTCCAAAACAAAACCCCTCATGCTAATCAATATCGCTTCTACTTGAACCCTCAATCTTCCTTCATACTGTGCTTATCTAATCAAATCAAATGGCTTCTTTGTCCAGATTTATTGTAAAAGATTGTAAATTGTACGCACTTCACAGACCAAGTTATGCTCCAAGGACTCCCACCCATTTTAGTATGTGGAATCTTACTTGTTTAGTGTTCTGTTCATTATTTAGTTGCTATTTTGCTACTGTTGAGTATTGATACGATTGTTGATTTTGGCATTAACTTAGCAACCTTCTTTTATTAAGCCTAACTAATAGTTATATTGAATGTCCATTTTAAGGTATAAGAAGTGGACATGAGACTGGAAGATGTAATTTGTTCATTCAAAATAAGCACCAAATTTCAGATGTTGCTTTCCCAGTTCAATCCTCATTTATTGGAATCACTTCACTGCGGTTAGTGCTTGAATCAAAGCTCCTTGTTTATTCTTTTGTTCATTTGGAGTTACAAAAGCTTTTTGGTCCATTAGGAATTCAAAAATATCTTGCAAGGCAGCAACAAATGTGTCTGGAGACTTACCAAGCAGTGGAATGAGCCAATACGAAAAAATAATTGAGACTTTGACCACTCTTTTTCCTCTCTGGGTATATCCTTTTTTCTCCATTTTAAAGTAAATATTTACTACTCCCTCCGTTTCAATTTACACGAGGTAGTTTGACACGGCACGGAGTTTTCGAAAAAAAAAAAGACTTTTGAAACTTGTTGTCTTAAAAGCTTAAGGGATAAAAGTTTTGTGGGACCATGACATTTGTGTGGTTATAAAAGTTTCTCATTAAGGGTAAATTAGGTAAAATGAAGAGTTTAAAGTTGAATTATTTCCAATTGTAGAAATATGCCATTTTTTTTGGAACGGGCTAATAAGAAAAGTGTGTCATCTAAATTGAAACAGAGGGAGTATATTTTTTTAATATATCATTTTTGTTAGCGGCCTTTTCATAGTACAGACCATTTTTTTGAAACTGTGCAGCTACTCAATGTTTGCAGGTTATATTAGGTACAATCCTTGGTATCTATAAACCTGCCGCGGTAAATTTACTAGTTTTTCTTTGCAATTCCATTTATGATAAATGAATAATTTCAACTGATAGGACACGAGAATCTTACAGGTCACTTGGTTGGAAACAGACCTGTTCACTCTTGGTTTGGGATTTCTAATGCTTTCGATGGGCTTGACACTAACATTTGAGGACTTCCGACGATGTTTAAGGAACCCATGGACTGTAAATAATAACTTGTTCATGCTCCCTACTATTTCTTTCTTATTAAGTACCAGCAGACACCAATGGTTGCTTGGTTTGCAGGTTGGTGTTGGATTTCTGGCTCAGTACTTCATCAAACCACTTTTAGGCTTTGCAATAGCAATGGTATGTCTTCTCCTACTTCAATGGGTTACTCGTTTTGTCTACGGATGATTTAAATCAAGTTGAAGTCGTAATAAAATTTGTATAATACACCTTATATCAAAAACACGAAAAAAGGATAATACATCACTGTCGAATGTTGTTCCCAAAATGTGTATACTTGTGTTCTGACTTGGTGAGACTCAATACTCTTTGACTCGAACGAAACCACTTTAGGGTAGTGAATGAAGATCAGCTCCATTACACCGGAATTATCTTATGTGAGCCAATAGAAGGCATAAAAAAGCCCGAATAGTCTATTTCAGAAATATTTATTACCCTTATTATTCTTATATTAAGATGTAAGTTAGTTAAACATAATAGGGAAACTTCGTCAATAGTATATGTACCTCAACAGACTCAATAGAGAAGCATATGAAAGTTTGATTGATAAATTACTCATGTGAGTTGTATCTTTTTATGTCACGACCCAAACTCCAACCAGTCGTGATGACATCTAACCCAACCGGCTAGGTAAGCCAAGTAACATTCAACACAACTCATTTGAGAATAATTAAGAGTAAATGAGTAAAATGACTAAATTTTCTATACAAACTCTCAAGAATTGGTAGTACAAGTCATGAGTTTTTAAGACTTAGAATTTACAAAGTTGGTACGAAATAAATACACCATCTGTCCAAAATATGCATAAACATAATTTCAAAATCTAAAGCTACCAAGGACAAGTAGCAGCTAGCATCGGAACGCAGGTACATCTTCAATGTCAGCTCCCGCCATACACAGCAATATCAACTCCAAGATCTGCACGCAAGGTGCGAAGTGTAGTATGAGTACAACCGGCCCCATGTACTCAATAAGTAACAAACCTAACCTCAGGTTAAAAGCAGTGACGGGCTCGAAAAAAAACGGTGAGAGTCCAACATCAATAGCCAATGACAATTCATAATAATGTAAAATAGACAGCAATAGTGAATAACTTGAGAGATATTATTCTCGGCTCGTTCACAGTTACGGGTAGGGGTGTCAATGGTTCTGTTCGGCCGGTTATTTTATAAAATTTGTACTATACTAATTTTTCGGTTATTCTATTATGTATAACCAAAATTAAACTTTCCGAAACCGTCCCAATCATGTCGGTTTCTCTTCGCTATCGGTACGGTTCGGTTAATTTTCGGTATTTTTTTAAATGTCATGTAAAAGTCGCTAGTAAAAGTAAAATGAAATAACATATATATTTTTATAGGACTTAGCAAAACTCTCTAGACAGTTTTACTGTTTAAATGGTGATGAATTAAGAAAACATGAAAGATGACCATAATATAGATCCATCAACTATTCTACAACAGTATAAAAGAAACTAAGCAAAGACAAAAAAAAGAATCACACGAATAGAAAGATATTAACCAAGTTGAGACTCAAGAATAAAGTCTATAGAAGATTAAATATTCAAAAAGATAAATCTAAATCATACAAAAGGAAACATATTCAATAAATTTAGTTTGCTACTCATAATCGCTAGAATACCTTGTGTCTTGCTAGTGAATATGCTGAAAATAATTTTGTTTCAGTAGGAGCAGCATAATAGGTTTGGGAATTAAAATTTTGATTTTAATTACTTGTTGGCTTATAATCATATTTATAATTTCAAAGGCCAAGAAAAATTTAATGCTTTATTATTTTTAAACATAATATATAAATATATTTTTTACATGTATATTTATTCGGTACGGTTCGGTATTTTTTCGGTTTATTTTCATAAAATAAAAAACCTACCCTAATTATTGGTACGGTTATAGATTTATATAAAAACCTACGGTTTTATTAAAAGAAACCTAAAAATCGGTTCGGTGCGGTGCGGTGCGGTTCGGTCGGTTTAGTCAGTTTTTTAATAACTATTGACACCCCTAGTTACGGAGAGTAAACATGCTTTTCTAGTATAACAGTTAAAGTTCAAATCTTTCACTGAAATCAATTAAACACGAGTTTATCGAAAGAACTGTATTTTTCCCAATTACAACATCAGATAAACCCTTTTTGTTTACCAATTATCATGCTGAAAATACATCTCTATGCCTACATGGCAAGTATACATGTCAAGTAATCAAATGTCATATCACCGTCTAGCATGAGAAAGGTACATCTCTATGCCTACATGTCAAATATACATGTCAAGTAATCAAATGTCATATCACCGTCTAGCATGAGAAAGGTACATCTCTATGCCTACATGTCAAATATACATGTCAAGTAATCAAATGTCATGTCACTGGCTAGCATGAGGAATATATATCTCTATGCCTACATGTCAAGAAATCAGTTTTCACAGTGGAATCATTAAGTACACACAATCTTAGCACACTCCAGGTGCCTGGCTCAAATGCCCCAAACAATATTACCGTTGATCCATCAAAATAATCACACTTAACACTGTACAAGTGCCTGGCATAACTGTCCATCATCGAGCACGTGTATATGACACTGTGCTTGCCCCACTGCTGGCATGTCAGACTCCGGAGGGGAGGATCCTGCCCAAGTGCTAATCACAATCATATAGCCCAATAGTGAGGCCTGGTGCACGCGTCGCCCCAAAATAATAACACTTAGCCCAATATGGACCTGGCGTACGCGTCACCTCATAATTAATGCCAAATCGGCTCCATGGCCCAAACTCAGTCATTTACCATTTAAGTCTCAGATAAACACATCTCACGATACTTAGTTTATCAGTGTTACACATAGGAGGCATCAACAACATGTGAGGAATCAAATAAGAAGTACTGAGACAAAGATATCATACACGAATATAGCATCATGACTGAGAACATGTGTACAAATAAGGCAAATAACTTATAAACGGCAAGAATAGCCCTATCAAGTCTCAAACAAATAGCACATAGCCTAGACATGATGTCTAACATGAATCACAGTTCAAATAACCGAACAAGTAGGGAAAACATATGTATAATAAGGTATGATAGCAAAACAATTCCAGTAATAGTCTAAAAGCCACCTCAAATCAGGAACACACCGTGCACGTACGCATGCCCGTCACCTAGTGCATACGTCACCCCAATACCTTTCATATAACGTATTTCTAGGGTTAAATACCCTTAAATCCAAGTTTAGATATGTTACTTACCTCAAACAAGCCAAATCCAATACCGAGCAAGCCAAACAACACTCTAGAAACGCCATCCCGCACAAATCAACCTCCGAACGACTCGAAACTAGCCAAAAGCAACTCAAAAATATCAAATAATGCTATAGAAAACAAACCCAAGCAATAAAGGTCGAATTTTTAGTCAAATACTCAAAGTCAACCAAAATGTCAAACCCGGGCCCGCACCTCGGACCCGATAGAACTCGCAAATTCTGACAACCCATTCGAATACGAGTCCAACCATACTAATTTCACTCAAATCCGACCCTGAATTGATGTTCAAAACTCAATAATTCACTTTATGAAAGTTTAGACAAAACCCCCTAATTTTTCTTTCAAATTCATAATCAAAATGCCAAAATCAAAGATAGAATTATGGAATGTAATCAAAATGGAGTAAAAAATACTTACCCCAATCCATGCAGTGAAAATCACCTCCAAAATTGATTAAATCCGAGCTCCATAACTCAAAATATGATAAAATGACCAAAGCCTTCGAAATAGAGTACTTATAGATCTGCTCCAGATATACTCTTCGCGAATGCGGAAGAAACATCGCGTTCGCGATGAACAAAAATGCACTGTCACAAAATGCCTTACGCATTCGCGACACTTCCCGCGCAAACGCAATACCCACAGACGCCGCACAACGCGACGCGACCCGCGTCTCACGGACGGGAAGAAGGGTTCTCTAGCTCCCAGCTTACCAGCACGAACACGACTTCAGAAACGCGAACGCGAAGCTCAAATTCCACAGTCTCCGCAAACGCGTCTTAATATTCGCGGAGAGATAAAACAGCCCAGCCCAATTTCCTCTACGCGATCGCGAGCCTAGCTCCGCGATCACGATGCTCTGCAGATACACCAGCAATCAACAACACAAAATCCACCCGAAATGGTCCGAAACCACTCCGAAACTCATCCGAGCCCCTCAGGACCCCGTCCAAACATGCCAACAAGTCCCAAAACATAACACAGACCTACCCGGGGCCTCAAATTATACATAACAACATCAAAACCACGAATCGCGCCTCAAATCATGCTTAATGAACTTTTGAACTTTCAACTTCCAAAACTCGTGCCGAACCATATCAAATCAACCCGGAATAACCTCAAATTTTGCACAGAAGTTTCAAATGACATAATGAACCTATTCCAACTCCCGGAATAACAATCCGAACCCGATATCATCGAAATTAACTCCCGGTCAAACATATGAACTTTCCAAACCTTCAAATTGTCAACTTTCGCCAGTTATAGCCAAAACTTTCTAGAAACATCCAAATGCAAATCCGGGCATACACCCAAGTCCAAAATCACCATTCGGACTTAACGGAATCATCAAAACTTCGATCCGGGGTCAAATACACAAAAGTCAAACTTGATCAATTCTTCTAACTTAAACTTCTAAGATGAGAATCATTCTTCCAAATCAATCCCGAATCACCCGAAAACCAAAACCGACGATACTCACAAGTCATATTACACCATATGAAGCTTATCCAAATTGTTTGCTTTATCCCTATTTGAAGGGGATCCTTGACGAAATGGTAAAGTTGTCTCAGTGTGACCTATAGGTTACGGGTTTGAGCCGTGGAATCCGACCTGATGCTTGCATTAGGTTAGACTGCCTAGGTCCTTCCCCGAATCCTGCGTAAACGCGGGATGCTTCGTGCGCTGGGCTGCCCTGTTTGCTTTATCCCTTGTTGTGAATTTTCTGTTAAAGCTAGTTCTATTAGGATCACACTACGTTCTACTATCTATAATTTATGATACCGCTTCTGTTGCCAAAGAGAAATTATTTAACCTCTAGAAACATTTTTTGATATATGTATTCAAGTTTAACCTTACTAGTTGAGCATGTTGATGCTGTTATTCTCTCTGGTTGTGTTTTTTGTTCCTTAGCAAGACTAACTCTTGATTCTGCTTTCTAAGATTACTTTTGTCAGCTAATACTAATTGTTCTCTTCCTCCAATTGGTATGATTTGTAGGCTCTAAAGTTGTCTGCCCCACTTGCAACTGGTCTTATCTTGGTGTCATGCTGTCCTGGAGGTCAGGCGTCAAATGTGGCAACATATATCTCAAAGGGGAATGTAGCACTTTCTGTTCTTATGACTACGTAAGCAGAGATTGTGAATGTAGATTTAATGTACTCCCTGGGAAGTTTTTATTGTCAATAAGCTTTGCTATGATTATGCAAGCTATTCTTGTTATAGATGTTAGCGGCACTCAATGCTCAATATAGAAACTAAAGTATGACTAATTTATAATGCAGAAGAAGCCACCATAGAAGTCGAAGTTAGGCAAGTTCAGGAGTGCAATTTTCTGTGCTTAGCAAAAGTCATGGTTACCAAGTTAGATGCTAAACCCAGGTTACCAAGTTAGATGCTAAACCGTCACCAAATTGGAAATTTATCCTGTATTGCAAATGAACTTGCCTAAGAAAAAGTTGTAGCTGGCAACTACTTTGCTGTAAGATATTTCAAGTTGGGATAGTCAATACAGTTTCTGAGGTCTTTAAGAAAGCAGTGCACCTACACTTTGACTAAAAAAAGGGCAGCTCGGTGCACAAATCATCCCGCGTTCACACAGGGTTCGGGGAAGGGCCGTATATGATGTAGATAGCTTACCTTAATGCAAGCATTAGTGGCTGCTTCCACAGCTTAAATCCGTGACCTATAGGTCACACGAAGACAACTTTACCGTTGCTCCAAAGGTTCTCTTCTGCACCTACTCTTTGACTATTATTTTAAATTCATTTAAAATGAAATATTTATATAAAGATGATCCGCCTTTTTGCTTTGTATACAAGCGTTGAGCCCATTTAAACCTAATATTGACTTAATTTGGTTTTTAAAAAAGACAAGGGACATGTTAAAACTAAGTTGATCTGAAATTTTGTTTGCCAATGCAATCTACAATATATCAGATTGTTGCTTTTGAGTGGTTTCTCCTCCCTAATGATAGGAGGCCATTAATCCAGGTTAAAATTTCTTTAAACTTAAGACAAAGATTATCTAGCTTACAACCATCATAATTAAATGAGAAATGACTCAAAATTCCTATGTTCCTGTAAAGTTCTTCGTTTATTTGATAAAGTAGTTATTCATTGTGCGCTCCTGAATAGTTGCATGTCTTGTGACATTGGAGATACATGTTGAGGTAGACTCTATTGCTAAGTTGCTCGGACTCTTTACTTTCGGTGCCACACCCCTGTTGACACAACGTGGCTGTGGGTGTAAGTGTGAGTGTTGGATCCGCACTGGATCTGGTCAATCGATTTTGGGTATTTTGATCAAGATGGATGGAGAAATTTGGGACAGATATTAAGATTTTGAAATCAAAACAAAAGGTATGGTGAAATTGAAGAAAATGGAATTACCTTCTATATAGAAATTTATTTGTTAGTCCTTTTCTTTTATCTCCTTCTCGGATTTCCCTCTTGATCAATATTTCTCCTTCTCGAAATAACTTGTTAGTCTTCCACATAATGTCTCATAACTTAGACATATTTTATAATTCTATTTTTAGATATTTTAGCCAAATCCCCGCACCCGTATTCGTACCTGGATTCGTACCCCCGAATCTTAAAATTTAGATAATGAAGGATCCGACCTTTAGATCCTCCTCGTATCGGACACCCGCACCAGAGTCCGAGCTACTTAGCTCTGTTGTGCACATTGTGGCCATAAATGCTCATGAGGGTGAGGGCGTGTTTGTGGTATCTGGCAAAAGCCTGACCAGCTGATTGTTAGCCGATCAATGAACTTAGTGTTTTTCCTGAGCATTTTTCGTTGCTGTAGAGGATAGAGATCTGCAATGCATGATTAGCAGGACAGTGATTGTAGCAAGGTGGTAGTTCCACCCATGGAGATGTAGCCCTTTAGCGTTTTTTTTGTAATCAATAAATCAAAAAATTAAACTAAGGGTTGCATTTCCAGAGAACTACTGCCTTACTACAATGGTTGTCTTGGTACTATAAATAGAGAGTGCAACGGATGAAAACGAAAACTTGTTACTATGCTGACAGTGGTCTCCTTTGTTATGTCTAGGATGATTTCTGGCAGATGAAAATTCATTACGGGAAAATGAATGACTGCATGTGAACTTTCAACCGCTATACTTTAGCTTCCTTGGTAATGATGCCATAGTTTTTTAAGCCTGTAGAAAGTGATGGCTGTTGAGGAGAAAACAGACCTATGCTATTGCTCAGTGCAAAATTAGGTTCACCTAGACAAGAAATTTGCCATTGGCATATAAAAAAATTGTGGACAACTAATAAGCTAATGACCAGAAACTTTCTTAGAGAAGTTGGTGGAGTAAGTGCTTCTATGGCATCATTGCAGGTGTTCAACTATTGGAGCTATTGTGATGACACCACTGCTTACTAAGCTTCTTGCTGGTCAGCTTGTCCCAGTTGATGCTGCTGTAAGTTGACCTGTGCTGATGTGTTCAATATTTGTTGCATTTATCATAATGCGTCCATGTAAAGAGCTTGATGTATGCAATATCAGTGACATTTATCAAAGTTTATCCCATAAATGCATGTATACAATGGAGAATTTCTGAAATATGCCTTGCACAAGCACCAAAACATTTTCTGGACTCGTCACCAGGCTAATTTGGAGCCTAACAGCGTCAAAGTATGGCTGTTTAAAGTTAGATTTTTCCAAACGAAGCTGATAGCCCTCTTAAAATTGCTCAAGACTTTCTTCCAATCAATCATCTTCCATTCTCTTTACAGGGTCTTGCTATAAGCACCTTTCAGGTTGTGCTAGTGCCAACAATTATTGGAGGTAACTGGATATTTTAATACTTTCCGTCTTTTTTAATAGTCTAACACAATGGAAAATTGTATTTATGCTGATCTTGCTTTCGTAGAGCTTCAAATAAGATATGCCTATATTAATTCAAGTTTACTTTGTTTTGCAGTTCTATCAAATGAGTTCTTTCCTAAATTTACCTCAAAAATCATCACCATTACACCTTTAATTGGAGTTATTTTAACCACTCTTCTTTGTGCAAGCCCGGTAAGCTTGCATAATTTACTGGCTAGTTTTAGTTGAAGGCATAGTAATGTTCCTTTTCTCTCGCAGATACTACGCTAACCCAGTTTCTATATTTTTTTCTTCTGAAGATCGGGCAAGTGGCAGATGTGCTGAAAACTCAGGGTGCACAGTTACTCCTTCCAGTGGCAGCCTTGCACGCTGCAGCATTTTTTCTGGGCTACTGGCTTTCAAAATTTTCATTTGGTGAATCAACTTCCAGAACCATTTCCATAGAATGTGGAATGCAGGTAGTTATCTTCTGTACTTCTCAGCATAGCGATGAACTAATCTCTGTAGCCACTCTAATACCTTATACCTGTCTTGTCTTTTCTTTTCTTTTGCTTCATGTAAGTCCAGATATACTTTCCATACTATCATCAATTCCTCTGGTTGAGCTCCATACATCAGCATATTAAGAAGCATATCTGATGGGTGTCCGATAGTGAAAATGACAAGTCATGCAAAATGCTAATATATAGTATTTCACTATTTCCAGAGGTGGAAAAATGTCTTGTTTTTTGTCCCATTGAAGCATCATTAATCTGTGGTAGTTAGCTATATAAGATTCTGCTGCTGCTACTTCTTACGAACTCGCTTTCCTTCCCTAGGTGGGGGAGGGACTTTGTCACGACCCAAATTTCACCTTAGAGGTCATGATGGCACCTAGTTTCTAAAACTAGGTAGCCGATCACTTACAACAATTAAATCACTAAAGACATGGTATAACGAAACAAGGTTTAATATAGATGCGGAAATAAAGGTGATACAAGCCAACACGGGGATAATCACAACATATCCTCAGAACTAGGTAATACAGAGTCACGAGCTCTAACTGAATACATAGAAATATCTCAAAATACAATACTGTTCGGATAGAGAATTGACAATATAATTGTAAGGAAATGACTCCAAGGGATTGCAACGATCAAAGCATCTCTACTTTGAATTCTCACGATCAAAGAAGCTCTCATTGCCTGGGTCGCTACCTCCAACACCTGAATCTGCGCAAAAATGTACGGAAATGTAGTATGAGTACACCACGGTCCGTACCCAGTAAGTATCAAGACTAGCCTCGGTGAAGGAGTGACGAGGTCAAGTCATGCGATACTCATTAGTCAAAAATATCCTGTGCAATAAATCAAGACCGACAACAAAAGTATAACAGAAAACAATAATAATAACCTCATCAGAATAAGTGATAACAGTTCAATGCAAGTTAAGGTTCAGTTTCAACATCAAGTCACACAAAGAAACACACACACATAGCACCTTGTGCCCACATTTTTTATCACAACAACAACACCCACTCGTATCGCTCCGCCCTGACAATAACACAATAGCCACCCGTATCGCTCCGTTCGGACAATATCACTATAGCCACCCGTATCGCTCCGCCAGACAATATCACAATAACCACCCGTATCGCTCCGCATCACAATAACAGTAAAATGCCACCCTTATACACCGCACAACAACAATCAATCCACAGAACAAGTCTACATGTGCTACAATATCACAAAGACAATAGTACCATAGTTTCCTCACGGATATGAGATCATAATTTATCAACAAGGTGCACAAGAACATGAAAATGGTAAAATACGGATGGGTTTTTAACAAATAAAGTATTACCATGGCTAAAACAAGTGTAATGATCTCGTTCACATAGCCACAAAGTGATGGAGCATATTCCATATACAATTTATCCCCGAAATAAGGCATATTAATAGCCTAAGATCTATTCCGGTTACAAGCCACACATAACACTCGTGTACACGCTCGTCACCTCGTGTACATGCTCGTCACCTCGTGTACATGTTGCTTTTCACATAACACAAATAAACAATTAAGGCCAAATCCTAGGGGGTATTCCCCACACTAGGTTAGGCAAGATACTTACCTCAAACAAGCCAAATCAGTACTCTAAAAATACCTTCCGGCGTGAATCAACCTCCGGACGGCTCGAATCTAGCCAAAATAACTTAATAACATCAATAAAAGCCGTAGGAAACAACCCCAAACAATAAAGATTCGATCTTGAACGAGAATCAAAAGTCAACCCAAAAAGTCAACCTGGCCCGCCTCTCGAAACCTGACAAAAATCACAAATTCCAAACACTCATTCAAATACGAGTTCAACCATACTAATTTCATCCAAATCCGACTTCATATCGGGGTTCAAATCCTCAAATTTGAGGATTAGAATTTGTTTTACCAAAATCCCTAATTTCCTTCACTTAGATTCATCAATTAAATGCTAAAAACAAGGATGAAATCATGAAAAATAACCAAATCCGAGTAAAAAATACTTACCCCAATCCAAGTCGTGAAAATCCCCTCCAAAATCGCCCAAAATCGAGGTCCCAATCTCAAAATGTAATAAAACAACTAAAACCCTCGAAATAGAATTTTATATAAGTCTGCCCAGGGGTCCTCTTCGCGATCGTGGGACCTACTTCTCGATCGTGAAGAATAATTTATACACTGGTCAAAATACTCCTTCCCGAACGAGGTCTGGCACCCGCGAACGCGACCCTCACCTTCACAGACCTACGCGAAAGCGACCTCCCACCTGCGAACGCGAAGGCCAACCACTGGGCGCCCCATCCAACTCTCCCTCTACGCAAACACGACTTACAAGTCGTGAATGCGATGAACACATCCCTTCGGGCTCCGCGAACGCAACATCTTTATCGCGAACGCGTAGGGCAAATCATCAGTCACCCAAATAACACTCCGCGATTGCGATGCTTCAGTCGTGATCGCGATGAACACCACCACACCAGAATATCAGCAAGTCCAACATGAGTGAAATGGTCCGAAACTCATTCGAAACACAGCCGAGGCCCTCGAGACCCATCAAATTATACCAATCATTCCCAAAACATAATGCGGACCTACTCGAAGCATCAAATCATACAAAATAATATCGAAACCACGAATCGCACACCAATTCAAGCTTAATGAACTATTTCAAAATTCCAATTTCCAAAATTACGCTGAACATGCCTAGACTCGGAATGACCTCAAATTTTACACATATGTCACGACCCCAAATTTCCCTCCGTAGGATGTCGTGACGACACCTAGTCTCTAAGACTAGGTAAGCCTAACAAAACATGCGGAATAACCGAAATAATAATAATTTAAATCTCAAAACATCCAAAACTATATATATAAAGGAAATCTGCAACCCAACATGTACATCTCCCAAAACCCGGTGAAGTATAAGTCACAAGCTCTAGATACAGTGCGGAACGCACCTATACATCACTGTCTACAAAAATATAAAGGAACAAGAAAAGAACAGGATAGAAGGGGACTCCGAGGCCTGCGGACGCGGGCAGGTGTACCTTGAAGTCTCCAAAGCAGCAACACAACGCACTAATATCGAGGCTGATAGGATGTACCTGGATCTGCATAAAAACATGTGCAGAAGCATAGTATGAGTACACCACAACGGTACTCAGTAAGTGCCAAGCCTAACCTCGTTAGAGTAGTGACGAGGTCAGGTCAAGGCCCTATTGGAGATAATAAGAAACAAGACAGAAGATATAATGATATAATGAAAATGACAGGGAAGTGAACAATAAAGAATTTACGGGAAATAACAACACGGAATCAAGCAAAGCTAATACAACACGAAAGGAAAACAAGAATTTTACATGTTAAGGAAACAAGAACCAAACAATACAGCAAATAAAGAAGAACGGGGCACTCCCGAGTTACCGCCTCGTAGTCCCAAATCGTAAAAGCAAATCACAGTCTATCCTTATATCACCGCAGGAGCCTTTATATTTGGTTTTGAAAATTATTTTTCCCGAAATAGCATCTCGCGTTTTAGCCCACCTTATCACACCGCATGGCTTCTAGTAGTTCCCCTACTAGCCACGCGTATCAAGCCCACCATATCTCAACGCATGCGTTTCAAACACCCAGACCTTATACCACTGCATAATAATCACAACGGCATGGCAGAAACCTCGTGCAACAACAACAACCGAACGGCAGAAACCTCGTGCCACCAATAACAACCGCACGGCAGAAACCTCGTGCAAACAACCAAACAATCACTTCAACAATAACACGAAAGCCAAAGCACAACAACTAAATAAATGATATTTCAAGGATAGCAATTTCAAGTAAAGAATTTCCACAGTTAAGTAATGAATACGGAAATCAAGAAAAGCAAGTAATTCAACTAAACATGTGATACAAGTTGCAAATAGGAGATAAGACAAGTAGACATGTGAAATTAGGCTAAACTTGATGACTATAACGTAGTAAAGTAAAAGGAAACTACGTAGCAAAAATTGAAATTTTAACATTTAGCCCGTGTACGCACTCGTCACATTGCGTACACGACCTTCACATATCACAATTATCACCAAATACCAGATCCTTAGGGAAATTTCCCCCACACAAGGTTAGACAAGTCACTTACCTCAAACCACGCTTAATCAATCAATTGGAAGGCCTTTCACTTGATTTTCCAACTCCAAACGGCTCGAATCTAGCCAAAATAATTTCATACTATAAATATAACTATAGGAAACTAGTTTAAATAATGAAATAATGATTTTTGCAAGAATTGGAAAAATCGCTCCAAAAAGTCGACCCGAGCCTACACCTCGGAACCCGACCAAAATCATAAAATCTAAACACCCATTCGATATCGAATCCAACCATACAAGAATTATCCAAATCCGATATCATTTAGCCTTTCAAAACCCAAAAACTTGGTATAAGAACTTCTGCACTTTTTCCCCAATTTTAAACTCCAAGACCATAATTAAAAGGTGAATTAATAGTTGATTCATGGGAATTAATAAAAAACGAGTTAAGAATCATTACATAAATGCTTCTTCTGAAAATCTCTCAAAATCTCGCCTCAGTCCGAGCTCTCAAACTCCCAAAAATGAAAATGAAGCAAACCCTCGAAAAATCCTCTTTTTTGCCCAGTTATGTTGCACCTGCGACCTTACTGCCGCATTTGCGGCTCCGCACCTGCAGAATTTCCATCGCATGTGCGGGTATGACCAATCCCAGCACACTTCGCATCTGCGAGGGCAGGTCGCACATGCGTATGCGCGCCTGCGGCGAGTAAGTCGCACCTGCGCTTCTGGCCGCACCTGCGTTCTTCTCCGTCGCAGAAGTGATGCCGCTTCTGCGGAACAATTGCCGCACCTGCGAGCCATGCCTGGACTGCCCTCTCCGCTTCTGCGTTCCACTGCTTGCACATGCGAGT